AAGATTGAACCCTTTTGTTTTTTTTTTTTTTTTTTTTTGGGAGTTGACTGATATACACTAACCTCTCTATATATGTCTTTATTCATTTATTTATTTGATGACCCTGCAATTACTCCTTTTTCTTCTTAAATTTTGTGGTTGATACTCCTTTAACTTGTTGCACAACATGCAGGACGATGGTGATTTTAGCATTGCTGGAGAAGAGAAGGTATGCGATATGGTAGTGTGGCTCTTATAATTGTTTTAATTTTTATTCTTTTAATCTTTTTAACTACTTAATTATCTACTGAAAGAGTATAAACTGTGCATATAAAAATGCATGTAAACTTAAATTAAATTCAATGTGTTCCCAGTCATGTAGGCTTAATTTAACCAAGCCTGTGTTGGTAGGAAATTCATTCATCTAAACGTATGCATCCTTTTACATATGAGCTAAGCAATTACCCTTTTTGGGTCAATTGCAGTCATCTTCCTTTTGGTAATGGTATTGTTGATAACTTGAATATTGTTCTCTTTTTTTTTTTTTTTATAATGAAAGGTATTTTTCCATTCTTCTCATTTTACAGGTAATCTTTTGACATAAGAAATGATAGCAGTGTCATAGGATAAGTCCTCAACTATAAGTTTGTTAGGGTTTCGATTTCTAATCATGTTTTTTCTTACTAGTGCACTTTGATATTAGGCCCTGTTTGATTTAGCTGTTAGGGACCTAGGCTTAGTTGTCATGGGGGTTTAATTCTTTGTATTTTTATATATCAATTAGTCTCCTTTCTCCTTGGTGTATCTGCTCTACTTTATGCAGCAACAAAAATGCTAAGAATGGCTGAGATTAAATGTCAATAGAATGTTGAATTTGTCTTTTTTTGATGAGATTAAAGTTATGATTATCTTTGCCTGGTCAGAATGGGTTGCCAACTTGCTTCACCATTTGTTTCTTATCATTGATGTGATTTCACAGTAACACTTAGTACATCTTTGTTTCAATCTGCTAGGATGATGAGACTACCTTGTCAGAAGAGGAGGAACTGGCTAAAGCGGATCCAAACAATCCAACAGATGAGGTAATGGTTGTATTGGATTTGATCTCTTCTTTTTTTGTCAATCTTCTAGCTTTCTGGTAAATAACTTAATGGTTATAATTCTATTTCTGGGAGATCTATATGGAAATGGTAAATTTATTTTTGTTGTCTTTTAGTTTTAGTATCTATATCTATATGTTCTCCTGAATGGCACTGCTATTTTGCAGATTGCGTTACTGCAAAAGGAGAGTGAAATTCCTATAGAGGAATTGCTTGCAATGTATAAAAAGGTAGGTTGAAGTATTGTTTCTTCTAGTAGCATTCGTACTTCACATCATATATTGATGTCTTTCTCATTGGTTAGGACTCGAGCAATGATGAAGTTTCAGAGGATGAATCTGCATATGCCTCTGCTTTATCAGAGGACTTCTTGGATTCTTCGCCCCATGAAGATGTTGAAGTGAAGCAGGAGGGTAATGCTGTTGATGAAAGTCTTGAATTGACTGTAGGCCAGCCATTTGCAGAAGATGAACCAAGCCCCGAGAGAAAACTAGAAGATGGAATGGAGAGTGAAAATAGAATTGATGCTGCTGCTGCTGCAGCAAGATCAGCACAACCAACAGGCAATACATTTTCAACTACCAATGTTCGTACGAAGTTCCCTTTTCTGCTTAAACACCCTCTTCGTGAATACCAACATATTGGCTTGGACTGGCTGGTTACAATGTACGAGAAAAGATTGAATGGCATTTTAGCAGATGAAATGGGGCTTGGGAAGACAATCATGACAATTTCTCTTCTTGCTCATCTAGCTTGTGAAAAGGGAATATGGGGCCCTCATCTGATTGTGGTTCCAACTAGTGTCATGCTTAATTGGGAAACGGAGTTTCTTAGATGGTGTCCTGCCTTTAAAATTCTCACTTACTTTGGTAGTGCTAAGGAGCGGAAATTTAAGAGGCAAGGCTGGTTGAAACCAAACTCTTTTCACATCTGCATTACAACTTACAGACTTGTTATACAGGATTCCAAAGTCTTCAAGCGGAAGAAGTGGAAATACTTAATTTTGGATGAAGCACACCTGATTAAAAACTGGAAGTCCCAGAGATGGCAAACTCTTTTGAATTTCAATTCAAAACGGCGTATCTTATTAACTGGTACGCCATTGCAGAATGATCTCATGGAACTCTGGTCACTAATGCATTTCTTAATGCCCCACATCTTTCAGTCACACCAGGAATTCAAGGATTGGTTCAGTAATCCTATATCAGGGATGATAGAAGGACAAGAAAGGGTGAACAAAGAAGTTGTTGATCGTTTGCATAATGTTCTCCGTCCATTTATACTCCGACGGTTGAAAAGGGATGTTGAGAAGCAGCTACCGATGAAACATGAGCATGTAATATATTGTAGGCTCTCAAGGAGACAGCGTAACCTGTATGAAGATTTCATTGCCAGCTCAGAGACACAAGCCACTCTTGCAAGTGCCAATTTTTTTGGCATGATTAGTGTTATTATGCAACTTCGCAAAGTTTGCAATCATCCAGACTTATTTGAGGGTCGTCCAATTGTGAGTTCCTTTGATATGGCTGGTATTAACATCCAGTTGAGTTCTTCCATTTGTTCAATGCTTTCGCAGGGCCCATTTTCTTCTGTAGATCTTAAACATTTGGGAATTTTATTTACTGATCTAGATTTCAGCATGTCTTCTTGGGAGAGTGAAGAAGTTAAAGTTCTGGCTACCCCTTCAAATTTAATAAAAGAGCGTGTTGACCAAGCAAATCTGGAAGAAATTGTGCCCATTTCTAAAAATAAGAGAAATTTGCCTGGGATGAATATATTTGAAGAGATTCGTAAGGCTATTCTGGAAGAGAGACAAAGAGAAGCAAAAGACCGAGCAGCGTCCATTGCTTGGTGGAACTGCTTGAGATGCAACAAGAAACCAATGTACTCAACAACTCTACGGGAGCTTCTGACTGTAAGGCATCCTGTTTTTGATATTCACCAGCAAAAGGTTGACCAGCGGTCCTACTTGTACTCATCTAAACTTGCTGAGATTGTTCTTTCACCAGTTGAACGCTTCCAGAGGATGATTCATCTGGTTGAATGTTTCATGTTTGCCATCCCAGCAGCACGGGCACTGGCGCCTGCTTGTTGGTGCAGCAAAACTGGGACATCTGTGTTTCTGCATCCATCTTACAAGGAGAAATGTGCTGAAACTTTGTTTCCCCTTCTAACACCTTTTAGACCAGCAATTGTCAGAAGGCAACTATATTTTCCAGACAGGAGATTGATACAGTTTGACTGTGGTAAGCTGCAGGAGCTTGCAATTTTGCTGAGAAGATTGAAGTCTGAAGGTCATCGAGCATTAATATTTACCCAGATGACCAAGATGCTTGACATATTGGAGGCTTTTATAAATTTGTATGGATATACTTACATGCGGCTGGATGGTTCCACCCAACCTGAAGAAAGGCAGACATTAATGCAACGGTTCAACACTAATCCCAAAATTTTTCTTTTCATCTTGTCGACCCGTAGTGGTGGTGTCGGTATTAACCTTGTTGGGGCAGATACAGTTATCTTTTATGATAGTGACTGGAATCCTGCCATGGACCAACAAGCTCAAGACCGCTGTCATCGGATAGGACAGACCCGTGAAGTACATATCTATCGGTTAATCAGTGAGAGCACCATTGAGGAGAACATTCTGAAGAAAGCAAATCAGAAGCGTGCTCTTGATAATCTAGTCATTCAAAGTGGAGACTACAACACTGAATTTTTCAAGAAGCTTGATCCTATGGAATTGCTTTCTGGCCAGGCTCTGAAGAATTTGCAGGAGAAAAATCACAATAATAGAATAGAAGTTTCTGTCTCTAATGCAGATGTAGAGGCTGCTTTGAAGCATGCAGAAGATGAAGCAGATTACATGGCATTGAAGAAAGTGGAACAGGAAGAAGCTGTGGACAATCAGGAGTTTACAGAAGAAGCTATTGGGAAACTGGAAGATGATGAGTTTGTGAATGAGGATGATGGTAAAGCTGATGAGTCAACTGATGCTGGTGGTTTAAGCATTTCAAACAAAGAAAAATTGATATTGAATGGGAAGGGTCCTATTGAAGAGAAAGCTCTCACTTTTGTTAGCAAAGAAGATGACGTTGATATGCTGGATGATGTCAAGCAGATGGCTGCAGCAGCAGCAGCATCTGGGCAAACTATCTCATCTTTGGAAAATCAGTTGAGACCAATTGATCGATATGCCATACGTTTTCTGGAATTGTGGGATCCAATCATAGACAAGGGAGCAACAGAATCTGAAGCTAGGTTTGAGGAGGCAGAATGGGAACTTGATCGCATTGAGCAGTACAAGGAAGAGATGGAGGCTGAAATTGATGATGATGAGGAACCTCTTGTGTATGAAAGTAAGCCCATTGAGCATTATCACCTATTTCACCAGATAGTTTCTCATTATGAGAAGGAATCAGCTATTCTTTCTTTTTTTGTTTGAAAGCTCAGTTGCTGATTTTAGTTGCTCCTAATGGAAGAAAGTAAAAAAGAAAGGAAATGCATGATGTGCTTTTCTTCAATTCTTCCCTGCATGATGTTATGATTTTAATTTGCATGCTTATAATTTGTTGTAAAGCTATATAATATTTGATGTTAATAACTGCAGTATAGATCATGTTAAGGAGTTTCAGATGTTGATAATGTATAAATCTGTGAAAAGTAAGATTTCATTACTTGGACAGTGCCTTCTAATGCCAATCTCTTGCCATTCATTGTATTCAGTGTGGGATGCTGATTTTGCAACTGAGGCATATCGGCAGCAAGTTGAAGCTTTAGCTCAACATCAGGTTAGTGAAATAAATTTTATACTCATTTTTCTTTGTACATGTTCTTCGGTTCATCTGATTGATTTTTTGCTAAATATTTGTAGCTAATGGAAGAACTGGAAAATGAAGCCAAAGAAAAAGAAGCTGAAGATGGAAATTTTGATGCTATGGAGTAAGATATCCCTAAACTCTTATACTTGAACTTTTAATGGGTTTCACTGTTTGGTTTTTCTTGTTTGATAATGATACAAGGTGGTTATTTATAAGATATGTTAGGTAGTGAGTTAACATATTCCTTTATTCTGGTTATCCAAGTCTAATTGGGTAATGCTTTTAAAGAAGGAATTTATGTAGTTCTAACAAGTTTAAAATTTTAAATTATGCAGCACTGCTAAGTAGTAAATGCTTTGTGGTGATGTACAGAAAATTTGGAGAAGTGGATGACTGTCTTTGTGAAATATATGTGACATGACTGAGCAGTCATTTTACTTATTTAACTATTGCTTGATGGTGTTGCTAAAAAAATGATGTTCGGTGCCATACAGACTTATTTGATTTTTCTATTAAGTTATTAAATGATGGATTCATGACAATCTCCAAACAGAACAAGGCAAGGTTATTAATCAAATACCTAAAAATTACAGGGAAGTTTGCAAATAGGAAGACTCTTACAGTGTTTATTTATGTTTATCAATTGATTCAGGTTTTAATTGTTTAATCTTTCCAGGAATGAGACGAGTTATTCAAAACCAAAACCTAAGAAGAAAAAACTGAAGAAAGCAAAATTCAAATCTCTGAAGAAGGGATCTTTAACTTCTGAATTAAAACTTGTAAAAGAAGAGTCAGAAGGGGAACATATGTCTGTTGATGATGAGATTTCTCATGATGAGGTCTGTTATTCAGATATGGCATCACCATCTTCAAATGTTCAGAAAAGACGAAAGAAGGCTGATACAATGCATGATCCTGAAGAAGAGGGGAGCTCAAAGAAGAAGCCCAAGAAACTTAAGAAGGCTCCTGCTGACAAAGTTTCTGTTGATTTGGATCCAGGTTTAACTGGTAAGCGTCGTGATGCCTTTGCAGAGGTAAAACAATGTGAGGGTATGTCTGTTGAGCTCGAGCAGAAATCAGCAGGCAGGAGCAGAACTGGAGGAAAGATTTCCATTACTTCCATGCCAGTCAAGCGGGTCTTAACGATAAAACCTGAGAAATTAAAGAAGGGGAATGTTTGGTCTAGGGAATGTGTACCATCACCTGATTCTTGGTTGCCACAGGAGGATGCTGTGTTATGTGCTGTCGTCCATGAATATGGTCCACATTGGAATTTGGTTAGTGAAACACTGTATGGCATGGCTGCTGGTGGCTTTTACAGGGGAAGGTATCGCCATCCTGTTCATTGTTGTGAGCGGTATAGGGAACTAATTCAAAGACATGTTTTGTCTGCACCAGACAGTTCTGTTAATGAAAAGATTGGCAATACAGGCTCAGGAAAAGCTCTTCTCAAAGTGACGGAGGTATGCTTGATCTACTTGTTTCTTGTTGAGTGGGAGAATCCTACATGTATAAGTTAAGAGTTAAACTTGTGGGATTTAAATACAATGTGAGCCTCTCCATTTATGGCTAATTGGTTTTAGGTTGGATGCTTACATTTCTCATAGGAAAAAATGAAGGTGAAAGAAGGCAGGAAAGCTGTTCATTTGAATGATAACTGCTGTTTAGATGGCTCTGCCCCCAACACAGACAATTAGAGGACCCTAACCCCACAGGAAGTAAAAGTACCCTTAACCCTAGCAGAAATGCTAACCATACAGGCCTAGAACCTTCTAATATATTTGAGGTAACACTTTATTTTATGGCCAAAAAAGGGGTAATACTTTATTTTAGGAGAATGGTCTGAGAAACCATTGTTGGGTTAATAAAGAATATAGATTTTGTTAGAGTAGAACTTGATTTATTTGCATTTTAGGTAAAAGGTCAAATCCTTGATTACATTTAAGGTCTGGTGCTGGAAGGTAAAAAGAGAAGAGAAAGAGATGGGAAAATAGGAGAAAAAGGGAAATAAGAGGAAAAGAGAAGGATGGGGAGAAAAGTTCAAGCTATTAAAATTAAACCTGTTCATAATCTCAAATCATACCATAACATTTTATTACACCTAAAGCACAATAATGGGCATGCTTGTGGAGTTACTGCTTCTTCTCTGATATCAGTCTTTGAAACAAAAATGAAAATGATGGCTGAATGACTGTTGCTAATATATGTTGAAAAATTGAAAAGAATATGTTTAATTCTTTTCATAACAAAAAGTCTTAATTCTTTTCGTCTTTATTTTTGTAGTAACTTTATTTCCGTTTTTGTGTTGCAAATTTGTTAATATGTATTTCTTTTAAGACATGTACATATTGTATATGTGATATGCCTTGCAAGACCAAAATCCTTCTTCTGCATTGATAACTAGAAGTTTTAAAAGGAAAGCCTTATGAATTATCTATATGGCAGGACAACATCCGAATGCTGCTAAAGTTTGCTGCTGAGCAGCCAGATAGGGAATTTCTTCTTCAGAAGCACTTCACTGCTCTGCTTTCATCTGTTTGGAGGGTGGCATATCGCACTGACCCGCAGCAAAACCCCCAACCAGTTCGCAATGGTCTCTATTTTGGTGGGAGTTTCTTCAGTTCTTTTGTCAACCACTCTTATAAGAGTTCTGTGAAGGAACCTGGACAAAGGATGAAATTCAGTAATTTGGCACAGAGTAGCAGGTTGTTAACAGTTGCACTTAGTGATGCATGCAATGAACCACAGGATAATGCAATTTCCCATTTGGATAAGAGTTACAGTGCTCCAATCATTGGAGAACATTTGGAGTTAGCATTGGAATTCCCAAAGAATGATGAAGATTCCCTGATTTCATTGCCACCAGTTGTAAATGTATCCATATATAGCTCAGATCCTTTGGCATTTGTGGACAAGGCTAATGAAGATGATCGTCTTAAAGCTTTGCAAATTATGGCTGAGAACCGTTACAGGTATGGCTATGTGTAACCTGTTCTTGTCACTAAAGTTGCATGTGGAATGTAGTTAACACCTTAGCACCAGATCTCAATTGAGAGTACTGGGATTTTTGGTTGTAGAATTGACCTAAGCCAACCAAAAACTGACCAAAAGTTAGGAATGGGTAAATGGTCCTGCTACTCTTTTTTCCGTTTTAACTAACAGTTGTTTTCAATTCTTCTTGAACTTTGACTGAAAACCCAAGTCCTCGGACATGACACGTGATAATAAGGTCATTATTTTATTGTTACTGGAATGTCTGAATGATGACTTGTACCACATGCCATTCTTAAAGGTATATTTGTTCATGCCAGTAATTCTGTAGTATCTAATGAAGCTGAGTTCCTTTTTTTCAGAGAAGCAGCTAGAGCTTGTTTTGAAGGTGGTCAGAATTGGGCTTCATCTGCTTTCCCAGCAAATGATTTCAGGTTGCGGTCAGGGTCTAAATCACAATCCTTGGGGAAGCACAGGCTTCCTGTCTTGGATTCAACCAAACCTCCCAAATTGAAGTTCAGAAAGACTTCAGTGGAGCATATTGACATGCAACACTCATTCAATGAGCAAGTCTTTCAACCAATGCCAAATCCTAATTTAAGATTTGAACTGACACCAGAGATGATTAAGGAGGGTTGGACAGATGATAGCAATGCTGGTTCTGCTTCTTGTGAGGATATGGCTTTTTCACCAGCATTAGAGGAGTTAAATCTAGTGCAAGATAGCTATCGACCAGGCTTCCTTTCAGGCCTGGATGAGTATTCTGATTTCCCAGACCATACTGACATTGGATAGGGTTAATAGGATGAGCTAAATATGATGTTCTTGGTCGTGTCTGTGGTGATCATAGGAGAATGCAGAAGTTTCCAAGACAAACGAGAACCCCCCAGCGTTAACGGGGTTCTCGGTGAACATGATGAATTTGGAAATACCATTTTCTACATGCCATTAAGTGGCCTGGCAATATTTGCCTGTTTTCATGCCAAGAGATACATGTTTCTGGCAAAGGAGAATCAAATGTGCCACTGAAGATCATGAATGGGTATGTGTACTTTGTATTCATTGGCCGAGCAATTATGTATTCATTGACAAGTATCTGTAGTGCTCTTGCAAGAGGATTAGCTGATGTGCGGAACATAGATTGTTGCAGAGATTTTGTAATTAATTTTGTTCTTTGGGGAATTAATTTCCTCCTGGCTTAAGTCTACTTAGATCTCGGCACTCTTGTGGAAAGCTAGTGGTAGGAAAGGTATATGGTTATCAATGGAAAAGTGGAAGAGGTTTATTGCAACTTCTTCTCTCATTTGCAAGCAAGTACAAGTTAATGAATTTTTCAGATAAATTTGCTCCTTTCTTCTTGTTAGGGTGGTGAACACCAGGCTGAGATTGAGTTTTCTTGTCCTCGGCTCTCAAGCCATTCCCCCTCTCCCCTAGCAAATATATATGTAATTGTCTTGGTTTCCTTCTTTTGAAAAAAAAAAAAGGAACAGAAAAGAAAAAGGAAATGCGGATTACGTTGCTTTTGGAAAAAAGAAAAGTCTAGATAGCATAGACGGTAATGTCTGTTTGGTGCTCTTCTTTTTCAATGTTGTTCACATTCGATAAATTGTTTTGATAAAAGGAAATTATACTATTTAGAAGTAAAATAAAAATAATTCCATATTAATTAGTTCATAGGTTAGCAAATTTTGTTTGAGAAAAAATAAAAATGTCCAGTTTATGAACGGTTTAAAACAAAAGAAGCAACTTTGATAGTAGTTAAATCCTCAAATTCTAAATTAAAAAATCTGTCTAATTTTTTTAAAAAATGTTATTGAATACTTATTTTTTTACTTTTTAATTTAACTTTAATACACTTAGTTTCTTTGTTTAATAAAATAAAAATATAATAATTAATT